CGGCTTCTGATTGGTCAACCTTCTATTGGTCGACTATAAAGGGAAATAAGTCATTTTGACTCGCTCACTAGTTATATATGTTATATACCCAAAAAACCGTAACATGTTCAACTGTCAAACTCTCTGCCTGGGCAGAGAGGAACCCGGACGAGGCTTTGCCGAAGGGCAAAGTTTCGTCCGGGGAGGTAGACAGACCCTGAACCCGTTTATGCGGGTTCTAAGGGAATATTTTTGGCTGAGCCTACGGGCTCGCGTAACCCACGGTGAACTCGGCTTTGTGCCACATACATCCCTCGTGGCGGAGGGGGCTGTTAAATATAGCAACGTTGAGCTTGATCAGTACCTAGATGCGTGACCACTTGAGAATACCATGTCCTGTAAGCTTAAATTTGCCGGTGGTGTAATTGACAATGGCTCGGAATTACAAATCACAGAGCTGAGTTTCAATTCCTGTCGAACTGGTTACTGTAGTGAAAGAGAGAATCACCGATCCCCAATACGACCGAAAAGCTCTGGACTGGTAAGTCCAGGGTTCTTCGTGGCCTCTCGTTTAAGTCGTGACATGAGACGACGTGAAATAACCCAGCGCTTGCCTTTATATGCCCTTTTGCGTACCTGTGTAGGGTCGGCGGTGAATCTTCACTGTTTGATGACACTTCCCTATCATTTTAAAAATTTCTAGGGTAGATCTACTTACTGAGAGTTCTGAGGTAATAGTTTTCTTTTCAGCATCACTTAAACTGCTTTTACGGCTCATCTTTTCACTAAATTCTTATACTTTTCTAATAATTTGGCACGCTCTAATCACCGTGCTGATAACCAATATGGCGCCAGTTTATTTACATTGCGCAGATCAGTACAAAAATTTCAGCGATTATGCAGTCTAGTCTTGCCAACATTGTGTGAATTGATTGGACGGTTTTTGAAATATTAGAAAAACACTATCTCGATAATAATTTGGCACGCAGTGTATATATATATATATATATATATATATATATATATATATATATATATGTATGTGTGTGTGTGTCCTACAAAATTTTATCACAGCCATGAATAGACGAAACTTTGTTTTATTATTACCATACATGATAATAAAAAGTAAAAATAAAAAACGGGTCAGCCAACCGGTTTCGTACCTCGCTCAACAGAGCTAAATCGAGGTATATACAGTAAATTATATAATAAAATAAAATCAAAGAACAATGGACAAAGTTTATTTGTGGGAAGAAGAAAAACTATTTAAATGGTAAGTAGTTGGAAGCCCAATATAAAGTCCGTCTGTTTACAAAGAAAAGCCTTTAATGATAGAATATAGATGCCCTCCAACACTTTTAGGTGGTAATATATATATATATATCTGTATCTATCTATCTATCTATCTATCTATCTATATATATATATATATATATATATATATATATATATAGGCAGCATATATTTATTGAAGCATGTTTAGTTGAATGATCTGGATATATATCTATTTATTTTTATTTTAACTTCACGGTTCATTTTCTTAGTGTCGGTAGAAAACTGATTGAAAAAGATGCCGTAATTATTCTTATCGTGTCATTTTCCCAGATATTTTAAATCTCATCCAAGATTATCACCAAGAGTGATTTGCTAAGGGAAAAGTTAATGTATTTTCTAGTTATGAATGTTGTGCGTTAGGTTAATTAAAAAAAAATACCACTATATAAGGTAGTTAACTTAATTTATACTGAAAAAAAAAATATACATATATAGAGAGAAAAAAATTGCAAATTAAAAAGAAATCTAACTGTAATAATATCTTAGATCTAAGATATATATATATATATATATATATATATATATATATATATATATATATATATATATCTTACATCTAATTTATTATTACAGTTAGATTTACGTTAGAATATTCGTTCCATATCACGTGACGTCCGCATCTCGCGACGGACGCTACTTGTAAACAAACAGTTATTTCTGAAGAAAGATTGAGGCCAATCTTAAATATCAAATATATATATAAATAAATAAAAAAATACTTTCATAAAAGTACATTATTATTTTTTTTTTTAATTTGCAACTTTTTATATATGTACATATTAAGAAAGTATACGTGGTTCTCATTAGGCTATATATATATATATATATATATATATATATATATATATATATTGAGAACACAGAAGATAACGATTGACTTGGCATTTAATATTTTTGAAGATAAAAGTTAATTGTGAATCAAGCGATTTCGATAATTGCGAGAGGAGAAACTGTTAACATAGAACTTACGGTTGCGTCTACAAATGAAAAATGATGAGACCTATCTACCAATTTGGTACTGCGCTTCAATTCTAGCTACCAACGGGGAAAGCTACACAGAAAAATTACCACAAAAATATTTATAGCAAAGGCACAGGGAAGCTATGTTACGGCTGTGGGAATTTGACTGGAGCTGAGATGTCAGGTCAAGAATAATGGGAAAGTGACTGAAGCTTTTAGAGATAAA